TATATATATATGTGTGTGTGTGTGTGTGTGTGTGTGTTTAAATTGGTAGAATAAAGTAGACTCAGAACCTTTTTATTGTTGCATTGGAATTATGTCGAAACCCTTTGTTTGTGATGTTATTGTGATACTTCGGCACCCTTGAAATTGTAAATTGTTGAGTTGAAATCTTAAATTGTGCCTTGAGAGTGTTGTTCAACCTTTGAACCGAAAGCCAAACCTTGGTCGGGTGTAGCCACGTGGGTGGTGGTCGAGCATGCATGCCCGTGCTGAGAGAAGCGAGGCCACGTGCGGGGACGACTGTCAACTCGCTTGAGAGCTGTAGCTGCTGTCACCAAACTCACGAGCTCCCCAGACCAACGAGTGCGGCTGAATCTTGACCCGCAGCGAGTCTCTGAGCATGTGCGCGCAAACACATCCCACCGTCCTACGTCAACAGCGTTAGCGAGTGCGCCGCCTCTTGGTGACATCACAGCACGACCCGTGCCCAGACACGACTAAGTCGACTTGCAGCTATCCGGTGTCGCTGAAGCATGATGGCAACAAGTGTGTAGACAACGTGCCAGCAGCAGCGCGCGATCGGTGTCAGCACAGTCGGACTAGAGCCAGCGCTATCCCGTCAGCCTAACGAAGTAGCTGAACCACTTTTGAACTGTGTGAACCATTTTTGGTGCGGAACCTTATTTTAGCCACGAGAACCTTTTCCGAGTCTTTCCGAGAACTGTCTAGGGTATGTAAGTGGGATAAACTTTTCTGGTTGTTTGGGAAACATGGCAGTTTAATGTTAACTCCTCTTATAACCATTTTCTTAGAGCTAACCTCCTTCAAAAAGGGAAAGTAGGTCCTAGCTCAGGGAAGGGTTTGAGGAACAAATGTTGGAAAACCATTTGGAAACTTTCTATTAAAAACAAGGTTAAACACTTTTTGTGGAAGTGCTGGTTCAAATTTCTTAGCACAAATGACCAGTTGAGTAGAAGGAAGATAGCAGTGGATAGCACCTGTGCAATGTGTGGTGAGGCAGAGAAAGATCTGGACCATCTATTGTTCAAATGTGAAAAAGCTGTGAGAGTATGGAAGTTGAGTGGTGTCATCTGGAACATGCAGCAAGGACAAGATTCAAGCTTCAGAACATGGTGGGAAGATGTAAGTGGAGCTGCTCAATCCCCTAACATCAAGGACAGAATCACTCTCTCTTCCTACATACTCTGGTGGCTCTGGATAACCAAATATTTATGGGTGTTCCAACAAATAAAATTGAGTGAAGTACTAACAGCAAAAGGTTCTTTGGCTGAATGGGCAGAATTTGAAGAAATTCAGACAAAAAAAAATGAAGAAAAGTACCCAGACAGACAAGGAGATAAGGACAATGAGGAGCAATTTTCTTTGGAGGTAGGACAGTGGGCTCTTTCTGTCAGTGCCTCAAGCCCTCATTGAACTTGTTGGAGACGAAGTGTGTTGCTAAAAAAGAAGGAGAGAATGCCAGAGTCCTAAATGAAACAACCTGGTTTGAAGGATGCAAGGAAGGTTTGTGGCTGGAGATGATCAGATGGGAAATGGTGCATGCTTTGCAAGCAGGATGGCATAAATGTAGGTGTGAAACAAAAAATAAGAATTTAGTATATAAGCTGCAGAAAAGTCAGAGATCTTTTGACATATGTAGTAATACTTTAGCCTTTGATGTGATCTCCTTTAGGGACAAATTTTCTGACTTTCATTTGTTTTTAATGATTCAGATGAGGGTGAAGTGTTTGGTTAGAGTAGTCTGTTAAGGAAGGGGTTTCAAATGAGATGATCCCCAGTCTGTTAAGGAAGGGGTTTCAAATGAGATGATCCCCGATGGTGTATACTGCCAGTTGGTACTACGAATGTAAATTTGCCTTTGAGTATTAATAATGTAAATTTGAGCGCGACTTATGGACGGGCAGCAGCAGCCTATGTGCGAGCAGGGGCAGCCGTGTACGTTACACAAATGATCTCTTGGCATCCACCGGACCCGGGCTGGATAAAAGTGAACACGAATGGAGCTTTCGATAACCTCACGGGCTTGGGCAGTGCTGGCGGGCTCCTTAGGAATGAAGCAGGTGGATGGATCGAGGGCTTCCTCTTGAACATTGGTATTTACACCATTACGGGTGCGGAGCTTTGGGGCCTTTTTCAGGGGTTGCAGTTAGCGTGGGAGTTGGGGTATAGTCGAGTGATTGCCGAGGTGGACATTCAGTGCGTTACGAAAATGATCTTGGGCTTGGACGCTTCTCTTGGTACTCATAGAGCGATGGTGCAGTCCATTGGTAGTCTGCTTCGGCGAGACTGGGATATTAAGATCGTTCATGTCCACAGGGAAGCTAATTTTGCGGCTGACCATCTAGCGAGCCTTGCGGCCTCCTGCCCTATTTGTGTACAGAGACTTTCCTCGCCTCCCCCAAGGATGGGCATGTGGCTCGAGCATGAGATCATTGGGGTTTCGTACCCGCGTAGAGTCTTAGCCTAGTCCTCGTTTCGGCCTCCGGCCTCCTTCATTGTACCGAAAAAAAAAAACGTTGGAAAAAAAAACTTGGACCTCTTGCAACAAAAGTCAATTTGAACATCTACCACTTAATCTACCACATGTAATTTTAAATACTTGACTTCAATAGTATATACGTCATTATCATTTAGTCCAAAATATATATATATATAAGGTTAGGTTCACATGAGAATGGTTCTTAGTGAAAGAAATGAGAATAAATCGTAGCCATTAGATCTAATGATCTAATAGCTAAAAGAAAACTAAAATTATACCATCAATGTGGTAACATTTTTTTTTTTTTTTTTTAAAANTTGATTGAAAAAAAAAAACAAAAAAAATTCATTTTACTATTAAAAAGTTTACAAGAATGGTAATTATCTTTTTTTTTTTTTAAAGGAAAAATAAAAACTAAAAATAAAACAAGAAATAAAACTACAAAGGTCACAAAAATATGCGATGTGAGTCTAAAATCGAGTCCTCATAAGAGGTCGGCCGAATCTAGTCAGGGGCAGGAGGTGGCGGTCGACCGAATCTGAAGGATAGGTACTCTAACTTGTCCATCCGAATGAGCGTCCGAAGCCGGAGGGGAATGTCCTCAGGAAGGAGGGTGCGTCTCTGGGTATAGATGCCCCCGTGCTAGCAAGGAAATCGGCAGGCCGGTTCCCCTCCCGGAAAATATGAGAGGCCTGGTAATGGATCGAGCGAAGGGTGTCTCTGATACGCATAAGAGGATGCTGGATCTGCCATGAGCCCTGGTGGCCAGATGTCAAAAGTGTTATGACAGCCGCAGCATCCATCTCTATCCAAACATGAGAGGAGATCGAGGCAGCAATCTCGAGACCAATCTGGAGCGCCTGAATCTCTGCATCATAACTTGAGGAGGCCCGGAGTGGCCCATGAAAAGCAGAGATGAGTGCCCCACCATGATCCCTAATCAGGCCCCCTCCTCCAGCAGCTCCGGTATGTCTGTCGAAAGCGCCATTAGTGTTTAGCTTAACCCAAGGGGCCTTGGGTTTCAGCCAAACAACGGTCCTGGGACGTGGATGCTGGACAGGTAAAGGAGGTGGTGGCCGCAAACGATGGGGCGGTGAACACCCTGTCCAGTCTCTCGTCGTGAGTCTACCCATGGCGGTGAGGAGAGAGAGGTGTCTGTCAACCTGCAAAATAATGTGAGCACAAGAAAAAATAATATCCCTATGCTTCGCATTATTCCTTTCTGTCCAGGTGGCCCAAAGGATCAGACAAGGAATAAGGAAGCCCACGTGTTTACTGTGTGTGCGGTGAGCGAAAAAACTCAGGAGCGAAAAAACTCAGGAGCTCAAAAAAACTATTTGTAGTGGGTAGGGGCATATGAGTATATCTGGCATAGTGCTCCCACACTCTCCTCACAGTCTCACTCTCAAGGAAAAGATGGGTGAATGTCTCGATCTCAAAGGTACCGGTCTCAGCACAACAATGGCAGCGGGAGGGGA